TTGGGAATTTGAGGATTGTGGGAGAGTCGAGGATTAGGGAGACTGGGGAAGAGGGTAATTGGGCCTACAATAACCTCACGTTGGTTTTCTGTGAGGATATGGTGTGGTGTATATAATGTAATGTATCACTCCGGTCTACCTGGCCCATTCGTGGCAAAGCACGGCTCTCCCACACTTCCTGAAATAAGGATTTTCAGTTTGACTTGCACATACTCACTTGGTACTCAACTATCGTAGGTTTTGATCGGAATTGTATAGGTAAGTTCCTATACAACGACTATAAATAAACTATAAATAAATATAATTCCAAAAATAGAATGTACAAATATAATATCGATACCTTATAATATTCAACTTTAAATTACTGGCCGTTCTAGATTTCAATATCCACTATTTAATATTTAAAACAACTAGAGCAACTGTCTGAACCTAGTTAGAAAATAAAACGATTTTAAATGTCCTTGGTTGCGGTCAGGTTCAGGCATTAGTTCTTAGTAACGACTTACCAGTTACCTAGGCATTAGACATCAATCATTCATAGAACTGAATCATTCACTGAGCATTTATAGCCTACAGTTCAATGAATTTTCATTGTATTTCTTTGTACAAATATATAATTAACTTGTAGTTTGGTTTATTTAGGTACATTTACCTACTTTATCGAAGTAGGTACTTTAAGTGTGGGAGAGCCATGCTTCGGCACGAACGGGCCGACTCGACCGGAGTGATACCACGGCCTCATAGAAAACCAATGTGAAGCAATGCTTGCGTTGTGTTTCGACGTGTGAGTGAGGTTACCTGAGGCCCAATCCCCCCCCACCCAACCTTCTACAATCTCCCCAATCCATGAATCTCCAACAATCCCCAAAAGGCCGGTAACGCACTAATAACGCCTCTGGTGTTCCAGGTGTCCATGGGCGACGCCGATTGTTTACCATCAGGTGATCCGTCTGCTCATTTACCGGCTTATGCCTTAAAAAAGGGAGTAGGCAGAGATGCACTAATTGCAGAGGTGCAAAAAAGGGAATAGGCAGAGATGTAAAACACACTATACTCAGTTTTGTGATACGAGTGTCATTTGATATTGGGCGGTCCAGTTGCCGTACCTTACGAAAATCTTGGAAAACCGAAACCATCAATAATAATGTGTTGCTTATACCAGGAACTCAATTCACTTTTGTGATAGTTACTCGACCGACATAGTACGTATTATGTATACAGTAATGGAACTTTACTAAGGACACCTAAATCACCAGGGTTTACAACCAAGTGATTAATATTTGTCGTTTAAATGTGAAATGGGTTCCTTGCCCTCCAATGGGACGTTTACCGACTGTTATAATCTTCTAATGGTTTGTTAATACAATTTAATATTTCAATTTATATTTGTCGTCACCCCTTTCATGTTATCAGTTTTCAGTACCGCAGAAGTCTGCCTTATTGCTTAGATGATTATATGGTTTCTTACTTACGTACTCTATTGTCTCAAAAACCTAAAGTGAAGCGATTAAATTGTGGCCAAAAACTATATCTACATGTTTAAATATATAACATAACATCACGTCTTTTATCCCCGAAGGGGTAGGCATAGGTGTACATTATGCAATGTAACACCCACTTTTCACTATTTATGTTAGGAGTCCTAGGTTAATATTTTATTTTTTATATACATATAAGTTTAAATATATCTATTTCAAAAATTCCACTGAATCGGGAATCGACTCCGATATGGAATTTCATTTGCTTTTACACGTGAGTCATTGACAACTGGCGAAACGTGAGCGATTACATAACACGTGCCTGCTTACCCTTCCAGTAATAGAAGCCATAATGTTTTACGTCTGGCAATAAACGCTACTCTTATTTACTAACAAAGTTATGATTGTTGAAAGAAAATAGTAAACACCTTTGCGATTCGTCCAAAATTACACACCATCAACAGCCTATAAGTTGCCACTGCTGACCAAAGGCCTCTTCTAACACGGAGAAGGTTTGAGCATTAACCACCACGCTTGCTCAATGCGGGTTGGCGATTTCAAACTTATAATTAGAAAGATGTTTTCTTTCACCGTTTGTCAGTGGTGTCTAAATAATCTTAGAAAGTATAACTCGGAAAAAGTCACATTGGTACTTGCCGTTGGTAGGTTTCCAACCCGCACCCCCGTGCATGAGAAGCGGACGTCTTAAACCTCCGGGCCGCCACGATTATTTTTTCCACCAAATAACATAATATTATACCTACGTTTACTTACAGATACAATGTGTAATAATCAAATGTAATTTAGCTATATAGTACCAAAGTTTACAATGTGCACACATTCATATCACGTTACTAGCTGACCTATCAAAACCGCCTACATTTTTTTTCACCTTTTAAACCTTCCCAGGACTTTTATGAACATTTAAAGACAGAAATTAGTCAAATCGGTCTAGCCGTTCTCGAGTTTTAGCGAGACTAGCGAACGGAAATTATGTTTATTTGTACATATAAGTAGATAAAAGACGGTAGGGGACGTTGTAGGTACCTCTATCTATATATATAATATCAATGTAGGTAGCTCTATACAACTAGAGGCCAAATTGATTCGGGTCGCGACCAACGCGACAGGTGTAAATGAATTGGGGTGTAAAAAGTATCCGACTTTGAAACACCAGTGTGTTGGAAAAAGTCGAATTCGACTAGACGAATTGCCCTGCCAATGTTGGACAGTCGAACAGAAACAATACAGGATAAAGTTCTGATTAAACTGTTGCTCGGAACGGTTCAGTATTTCACGAGTTTCAGTTATAAAGTTCGGATATAGATTTCTATTAAGACCGACTAACACGTTATGGATTGTTTTACTACAAAATTAATTACCTAAGTAATAGTGTATTTTAAGAGTACAAAAATAAGGGCATTCCTTATTACATAAGACTATTGGGAGTCATAGAAAAGAAAAGGGTGGAAAAAATGTGTTACATTTAAAATTACCTATACTTTCCAGCCACTCCTTAGAAAATTAAACATAATATTATCTGTAAATAGTAAAATGTAATAAAAAGCATATTTTACGAGGCAAACTACACCCTAACAGAAGAGTATTAATGGCGTTTTATGTAAATCACTTCTAGACATAAGATTTTACTACACCTTGCTACATATACGCTACGACTACGCTTTGAAGTAACTTTTTACATGGCGGTAGAACTGTAGTACGATGTACTCCAGAAGTTTACTATGTAGTCAGAAGTACTTAGGGAGATTGCAAAGCTACGGTAGCTACTAGCTAGTAACCATTCTTGTCTTTTGTCTTCCTATTCATATTTCCTGACATGATACCCATTGTGTTTGGGTAAAATACTTGGCGCTACTTCACAATGTATGATGTATCCTGCAAATTTTATCATAGCAAATATTGTTTGTGTTGATTAGTGCTGATTGTGTTCCATCGTCTATAATTTTGATGGTAGGCACCGGCGACTGGTTTTAAATAGTTTGAAATCGAGTTTTCAATAAAATTACAATTTAGGGATTCTGATTCATTATTGGGGTACTGTTATCTGATGTCTAACGTAGGTATTACATAATAAAAAAAACAATTTCATGTTAAATAAATACTTACCCTGTCTAATAAACTTCTAAGCAAAAAGTCCACTTCAAAATGAGGTTAACCTCATGCATATTAAAGGTTAAGGCATAAGTCAAGCTATTAAAAACCGCCGTAAAGGTAACTGCTACCTTTTTGTGAAATTACCGTAATGAAGCGTGATAACCTCACTGAACTTTACATAATATCCTCGTCTACGTCTAATAATATCTACCTGAAAAGCCTCACAGTGAAAACTCTTTGGAAAAATTAAGGAATAAAATACGTTTTATGAAGACTGTCCACTTGATGAAAAGTGCTCTGGTAGGTGGTAGCTACCGCAATTTTGAGGAACCCGTAGTAAATATATAAATGAAATAATATCAAAGTTGTTTTACTAATACAAGTAAGGTGTTGGGAGAGATGAAGGGATGCCCTTTTTACATTTACTAGACTCATTTCTAGACATCGATTCTATGTTTCAGAAACTTAGCAATAGTTAGGTACTAGTTTAGAAATACTAGGCGATGAATGTAACATCAGTATAGTTATTAATTAAAGAGTTGCACTTAACCTAACGACTGAGAAGTATTAAGGTGACCTTATAATTAAATGGAACAGTTCTGTCGCTTATTCAATACCTATACTTATTTTATTCGACTACGTGGCCATTATGGAAATTTGAGGGTCTCATTACTACAAAGATGTTGTTCTTTTGTTATTAGTATCGTTCATGTATGCAAAATATTATTTTAAGGAGCAGTTAGCATGTTAATCGAATGTCGAATGTCGTGGTGGTCCGGAGGTGGTTTCTCAGCGTGAGGTTGCGGGTTCGAAACCTATCAATGGCAAGTACAATTTGTAATAATTATAAGTTTGAAATCGCCAACCCGCCAATCGTGTGAGAAGACGCCTTTGGTCAGTAGTGGGCACTTATGAGCTATTGATGTGATCTGTGAAGGTGTCAATCTACTTACTGGTTAGGTACCTGTAGGATTAAATTTGGTAATTACTATCTAGGTACTACTAGGTACTTATAGTAGGTACCTAGGTATATTATTTTAGTATTCCCAATACCGCGTTACTATAACACAAACATAGAGTACAAAAGGTTTCATTTGTAAGTTGAAGGTCCACATTTTTCATTACTTACAACTTGATTGATTACACCGAACAGTAATGTGGACTTCGTGCTGTTACCGGGAAAATCGAAAATTAACCTAATTTGTAGCACCACACTCTAGAGTAGTGGTGACTCGCTAGCGGGCGAGGCATTTGAGATTCGACTGCCGTGTCGGACCAAGTTTATTAAAGCAAATACGGACTTTGACTTACTAGCAATAAGTTGGTTTTACGTCTGATTATGCACCACTGTCTACTCTTTATCAAGGATGTTATGTCTAGAACTAACCAATTGTGTTATACCTACAGACTTTATCAAGTGCGCGTGGGGCTCCGTGTGTCTCCGAAGGTACCGGTGCACATCGAGGCCTCAGTGTCGAGTGGCAATGGAGCCGCGCGCACTGGCCGGCCGGCCGCCAACGCGTCGCTGGTCGGCGGAGTGGCGGCCTCCCGGGCCTTCCAGATCATGTACCGCAATGAAGAGGTCACGCTACGGGACATCGTGCATTTTAGAGCTCATCTCTTAGGTACATTTGTTTTTTTTTTTATTAAAAACGTAGCCCCACACTAGGATGTTCTCCTGTGTCGTGGGTGCATTTACAAACATACAAGTTCACATACACATGACACCCAGACCCGGAACAACAATCTGTGGATCACACAAAAAATTGTTCCGTGCGGGAATCGAACCCGTGACACATTGCACGGCTATTATATGATTAAGTGTTTGTTGTTGTCATCCAAAGAGATCTAGAATGATTACAGAACTTTAAGATACCAAAAAATATACTATGAAAAGGATATTATGAAATGTTCATCAGACCAAAATGAGTTTGATCAATACCTTAGCTTCATTATTATCTATATAATTACCAATTACTGTGACTGTTATAAGATCTGCAAATAACCGAACAAATTAATTTTAAATCCCAGTTCTTCCTACAAAACAAAACTGTTCGACATTACACAATGACAAGCATTTGGAACTCGTTGCTTTCGTTCTTATAATAGAAGGTCGCTTTTGCTCTGCTCTGAATCGATTGTTTGCCAAGAAGTGCCAAGAACCAGTTTTGTTGTTTGTTTAGTGGACAGTAGGAATCTGAAGGAGTCCCTGGAGAGAGCGGAATGGAGTCTTGGGGTGGAGTTGTGGTGCAGCGAGGGTGCGCAGTCCAGCACCCTGGCGCCGATGTCCTGTCGGGTGCTGAAGCTGCACTTTCAACCTTCCCAAGGCCTCCACTACCACCTCCCAGTGCTATTCGACTACTTCCACCTGTCATCCGTCTCCATCACCATCCATGCGAGCCTAGTTGCTTTACATCAGCCGTATATCAAGTAAGTATGCCTAGTTATACGAGTTTAAACAGTTATTTAATTCATGTAATATACACCACTTTGTAATAAATAGATGTGTAGATTGAAAGACAAAATTATCTAATACTTTTGCTATTTCTTACAGTATAAAATTTATAATAATTTCACTGAAATTACTTGCTGTAGTAAAGGGCCCATGGAATAGATTCAACGCACTAATTCGTAACAAAATAATACTAACTCGATCTATCATTATTATTTCATGTCTGTCCGTCAATCAAGGAAAAGCATAATGCATTATGTGCAAAGCTGGTAAGTAATGTAAATGTGTACCTATGAGGTACCTGTACCTTCAATAAAGTCTACTGATAGTCTGCAGAAAACTACAGGTGCATAATTCTGTAATGTTCTCTTTGGTTACGTCATTAGAGGCTCAGAAATAATTGCTAAAGTGAAGCACTCAGTGTAGCAGTCGCACTTAGCAGGGGCGATTATAGTCACTAGAATTCACTATATTAACCTCTTGTCTGTCGATATATGAGACACAATAGAAAACACATTGTGTCTCACTCTCACGTAGATGGATTCCAACAGACAAGAGGTTAATTCAACTTACGCACATTTACACCTATCATCTTTCTAATTATACCATTTCAGCACGCCACGCTCAAGTAAACAATGGGGTAAATTGATGAAGAGCGCAGGATCATTCAATACTTCGGGAAGCTTCGAGAATGTACTATTTGGATCCACCGGCAAATGTGCCGGTGGGAACTCTAGCAAGATTGCGCATGCAAGGTCAGTATACTATCAGATATGAAACGGACTTCAGTGTTCCGGTGTTTTCATGGTTGTATCTACTGTAGATCCTGGCTTACAGGAGTTGCAGCGGTTTTGGGAGGTTGTGGCGGGCTTGTCCCATAAAAAAAATCTCAGATATGATGGATTGAAAATAATCAAGTTCTTCCTGACTGAAAATAAGGTTTTCTTAAGTTTTCTTATTAGAGGACAATTTCATAAAACGTTTATTAGCCCTTGCTCAATTATTTTTTTGTAATTCTTCTATCAATGTACGATTGAGAAGAAGACAAGACATCATAATACCTTCATAATTCGCTTTAAGTACCTAGTCAAATTTAAGTTTTATATTTTCCAGGCAAGTCCACGCCGAAGTATGCGGAATCCTGTTAGGGTCACTGGAGGGCCTGCAGAGTGCACTAGCTATGTGTGGCTCCCCTGGTATCCTGCTTACTCCTGAAGAGTCCTCCTCCAATTCTGTAGTGGGAGAAGTCGCGCAGAGACTAAAGGATCTTAGCGACTTTGGCAAGGTACGTTTTCATTGTAACATTTTAGAATTCATAAAATATAAATAGATTCGTTTCAGCGACTTGTACGTCCAAAAAGTCTCGCTATAAAGTTCCCGAGGGAACTTAAGGGAAATTTTCTCTTAGCGCTACTTTACACTCCCCAGAGATCATACATGCTACGTTCCAACTGGCTAGGTATACATACATATACTAATATATACTGACTTTTGATTTGACTGTGCGTTGTCTGTCATAATAACTTTTGTTGAACAACTTACTAATTAGTTACTTGGTCAGAACATAATCTCTTCTCCTCTGATAATAGTTATAGAGTACAGAATAGTAATAATATTCTCAGAAGTTGGAGAAGTCAGAATGCGGCGAGGAGGAGGAGTGGGCGATGAGCGCGGCGCACGACATCGCGCGGCTGTGCGCGGAGGTGACGCTGCGGTGGCGCGCCTTCCTGCACCACGCCTCCGACCGGCCGCACGTGCACCACGCGCTCGCGGCCCGACACCATGCGCTGCGGTAACCGATGACTTACATGTTTACCTTCCAGTTGTCTGCTTCAGTAGATAGACAATAGTAACTAACTGGTAGTCATCAATTGGTATTTTTGAGGGATAAGGCCACAAACGAGCTGATCTACCACCTGATGGTACACAGTGTGTTTCTTTTGAAGATTGGACATCCAATCTTTTACATGATTTCATCATAATGTCCAAAAGCCGACTGAAACATTGTCGAAGATCGGTGTAACAGGTTTTAACTACTAATATATGATTTACAGCATAAAGCGGTTCTCGGAGTGCTTTTTCGTGCTGGACAACCCTCGTCACTCGCTGGCGGGGTGCTACGACAGCAACTACCAGTCGTACCAGAGCGTGGGCGAGGCGGCGCGGCGCTCGCGGTACCTGGCGCTACTGCCGCCGCTACCTGTACACTGCATCGCGCTCGACGGGGACCCACACATCATGCCCATCATATTCGAGGACAGGTCTCATACTCTATACTATTGTCCATATCAATCATCAAGTCATAGGCCCCCTATATTCCGAGTATATGGCGCGTTCCACTCCGCGCGCGTCTCAAAGAGCCATCAATCAACCACCACAGACAGCCCAGTAGGGCTGATGCCCGATGTGGAGCTGCAGAAGACTTAACTGTTTCCCGGGAACGAAGCTTCATCTCGAAGAACAGGAGTAGGAGCGGGATGGTTTTTGGTCAGTAAGAGGCCGTCACTCCCTCTTGCCTCATCTAAAACTGGATAAGTCGTTGGATTATTTTTTCTCAAAAATAAGCCCCCTACATAAGAACCCTTAAAACTTACACCTTCTTTAAAATTATTTCAGATACCAAGACACAGCAGAATTCGCGCGACGTCGTTCGTTTTTGAATTCCAGTGCAAGCAAATCCGGGAGCGGTAAGTTACACAATATTTCTTGATGTCTAATTTCATCTTGCACAAAAATAAATTCTAATATGTATAAATGTGTCTTGTCTCGATGCAGATCCTTTCCTATGTTCGGAGCCCCTTGGAGATGACTGTGCATGTAGCGTAAGCTCACTCATGGACTCCAGAAGACCATCTTCCGAAGCCTCCAGAGTTACCCTCACACTGCCCAAAACAATCATCAAGCTTTGCGAACCAAAGTTTAATACACCCAAATCCGGTTCTGGTGTCGTTTCAGCAACATTAACATTAGCTCCCCAAAAATCAGCCCACGGATCCCCTAAACGAGCCTTAGTGAAACAAAATGTTGTCGAACTACCCAAAGCACATAATAAACAACTCGAGCTCACCGGACGAAATAGATACATTGTGCAGAACAACCTCATCAACGAGATCCAACTACCACCAAACAACGCGTTCGCTTCATGCACGATACAACAAGGACAGACGATGTCACGATACTCTGCTTCGACCTTGCTTGACATTAGTACAGCAAAAAGTGCTTCTAACGTGTCGCATCTAGGCAAGGAGCAATCTGAACCAGGACTTGAAGTATTTCGGCAAAAACACGAAATCACTAGCGGGGTGAGCACTCTACCAGCTAGACACAGCAAGTCACTGGATCAACTGCGAGTGTCTCAACTAGCGCCGCTCAATACTACGCAAACGTTGACTAAGAATGTGAGAAACGGTTCTAATTCGTCCGTTAACTATCCAAAACCGTACTTACCACCGCAGCAAGTAAAGCCTACCACATTGCCAAGAAGTGTTACAACTAGTGCTTACCCAACAAATACAACGACTAGATGCAGTTCCAAAGGAGATGACTATAGAAGAAATATAAATGAATTTAGAGAAAAATACAAAAATCCTTGTATCAAGAAAGTTGGACATGGAATGAACAATGAAGTGTTTCATAATGTAGGCTATAAGTACGATGGAGTGATGAAACCGAATCCTAACCAAGTGTACGGCTATACTTTCGGTAATCAGGGTAATCTGCAAGTAAACAATGTTATTCGTAATCCGTTAGAGTTTCAAAGAGGCTACAGTGTAAATTTACCCCGTCCTATGTTGCCTCCACGTAATTCTTACCCACCGGTTAGTGGTAAAAATCAAGTGACTGATCAAAATAACTTAGTTTCTAATAAACACGTACATAGATCAAATTCTACGCATGTGTTTCATCAAAAAGTGGAAAATCAACAAATTGACATTGAAGCTGCTCGTAATCAACTTCGGCATGAGCTCAACTACTACTTACAAAAAGGTGATTGGAGTTATGATTTCAATACAGGAAGTTTAATTCAAAATTACCAAAAGAAATCTAGCAAAAGCAGTGATGATAGTGGATTTGTGATGACTTTAGATAGAAGCAGCGACGGAACATCTAAATCAACGTATTCAAAAACTCCGCCATCTACTCCACACTCAACGATGCCATCAGTTAGGCATAAAAAGAGCCGATCTAAAGAGTCTAAACTAAATAATAGTGCAAAAGAAAATACCAAAATTAACTCAAGTAGAGATTCATTGAGCAGTCACCATTCAATAAAATCTCGAGACAGCAAATCGGATCGTCACACATCAAAATCTGAACGAAGCACTCCAAAATCTGATCGTGCCACACCACGGTCTGGGAAATCTACGCCCAAATCCGGCGGGTATACACCAAAATCAGGTTTAGCTACACCTAAATCTGGTAGAGCTACTCCAAAATCTGGTGCTACGACACCAAAAAGTGGTAGGTCGAGTGGAAAGCCAGAAAAACGTACGAAACATAAACCCTCAGAAAAGATGACTCAGTTGATGTCGGAGGCTGCATCATCGTCTAGTAACGAAAGTATACCCTTCGAGTTGAGAAGATTAGAATCGTCTACCAGTGTCCCTTATAGCCTCGATCACGGGCCTGAGTTATTACGACATTGTAGAAGTGCGGCATCTGTTTTAGATGAACCAAACTTAAATAATACGTTTGGATCCGAATCTTTACCTAATTTAGCCCCACCACCTGCATTTGAGTCGCCTCCGCTTGATATAGCCGATAAAGATTTTAAAATATTGCCTCCCAAAAACTTTCTGAATAATGAAGAAAAACGTCGCAGAAGCACATCTACTTCGAGTTTAAGTGAACAAAGTGGATGGGTCTCTAGTGGCCGTAGTTCAGGTCCTTCCTCTCCTGATAATGCAAGTTGTCAATTAAATCAGAATTTCGTAGCCACGAAACCAACAACATCAAAATCATCCAGTAAAAACTATGAAGATACAAGTGAAATTGGAAAGCATGATAGTGAAACTATCAGTGATTTCAAACGAACAGTCCTTAACGGAGATCAGCTACGAGAACGACTTTTAAAGTTAGCCGTGAAAGTGGCTCAAAACACTTCAAACGAGAAAATAGAATGCTGTGATAAGGAAGTGTGTGAAGAATGTACTATCTGTAGCGACTCTATATGCACAGATAGCCAGTGTGAATATAATAAACTGGTGCACAGTAATGGTATCGACGCAGGTTGCAACTCAGACACTTGTACTGCGAGCTGTTTTCAACAAATAGCAGAAGCTAACGCAGTGAAAGGAAATCAAAGGCACAACTCATTTAGTGCTGTACAAGGTAAAACCTACAGCTCTTCATCTAAAAGTTTAAATGAGGGGACGGTTAAAAAATCGCAAACAATAAGTGACAATTTACACCCTTACATAAGGAAAGAAATACCACAGAAAGCTCAGCCGGCACCTGCGAAATCTCAGTCGCTGGATAAAACTAAATTGAAAGATCGAATACAGTATACGGAAAAGTTAATAGCGGCTGAGATACGGAGTTTGACAGTGGATCGTTCTTGTGTCAAAACTGGAAGCCACAAGAAAGGCAGTTCTGGCTCAGGGCAGAAGTATTCGAATAAAGCTAAATCTGAAATTGACTTAGCCCACTTCATGGGCGACAATGATTACGAACATTTACCTCCTCCGCAACAGTTTAGAGATGCTCCACCTCCTCCAGACGAATTTAAGGTAATGTGACATACTTATAAATTGCAACAAAAATAGATTTACTTATGAATTTATTTCATGAACTTGTATTTTAGGATCCGCCGTCAAAATCTCCGAAGCTGAGCAGACAAAGTAGCAAGTCGTCTACTCCGTCGAAGACACCGAGGAAGCAGCAAGCACAGGCTTCCTCGCTTCAGTTGGACAATCCTTTGTATCACGTGTGTGAAGGTGAGTACGGCTGTTGGTGTCTGATTCATGTATTGATGCTTCTGCGATTAACACCGTCGCTTGGCTATAACAGGTTTAATGGAGAGGCGGAAACTGAGGCCTCATCAGTCAGTAAACTCTAGCAGCGCGCCCTCTGCTGGCACGCTTAATAAAAGTCAGAGCACCGGAGAGTTGGCGAGCAGAAACGATACCGGTAACTAATGGTTTTATTACTAACTATCTTGTACATATTTATTCTCAAATCACATTTACATTTTGTAGGGTTTCGTTTTTTTATGGGATAAGCCGATAATCGAGCAGACCGATCACCTGATGGTAAGCAACCGGCGTCGGCCATGGACGCCGGTTGCAAGTGCCTTACCGGCCTTTTGGAAATTGAAAATTTGAGGATTGTTTAATAATTATTTAACATTTTTTTCGGAACAATCTTGTTACTTAGTAATAATTTGTAATAATGAAATGCCCCTAATCACCCACTGTAGTTTATGAATTGCTATTAGTACATTTTGTTAGACAAAATATTTACAAGAATATTTTTATAATTACAGAACAAAGAGAAAGTAATCTCGTCAGTATATTCGGTCTGGCCGAATCTGAAAGGCTATTCGTGAAATGCAGAGAGGAGTTTAGACAAAGCGTGAAGTACCCGGGAGCTATCTACTCGGACTTCCCACCGGTTGAGAACTCTCTACCTTACTTCCATATCAGCGACGAGTATAGAATGTTCAATCCGGAGGGTAAGAAATACACCAAGTAATTTATCTATCACTTAACGACATTTAAATGCAAAGCATTGTCCATTTCTATCTTTTCTAGATATAACACAAGAAATATCACCAGACAATCGAAAGAAATATGTTTGTTCTATACCATGTAGTCAGCAAATAAACCTCATAATAATACCTTGGTCATGAAGTAATTGTTTCGAGGCTGATGAGTATTTTCCAAAATTCCAGGGCTCCACCTTATAATCTGCGTTCACGGCTTAGACGGCAACGCGGCGGACCTCCGTCTCGTGAAGACTTACCTGGAACTAGGTCTGCCTGGGGCAAGGCTAGACTTCCTCATGTCTGAGAGAAACCAAGGAGACACTTTCTCCGACTTTGACACTATGACAGATAGGTGAGCGGTAAAATATTATACTCCTTAATTGTGATCGGTTGCAAAACCCTCGATTAATTGATATCTTTCCTATCACATTTATTGTATCAAAGTCTAAAACCAGTTTATAACGAATATTAAATTATATACAAATTAATTTTACGGCTATAATGACTTTTTTATTGAATGGAGTATTATGGAACGTCAAATAAATCATTTATTCGATATTTGTTTAATATCAATCTGTTTTATAATAGTCCCCTATCAATCATTCAGAGAGGACATGCTTAAAATTATATCTAACTATTTCAACTTATGTTTCAAAAGCAAATACAGAGTGTTCACAATTAAAAAAAAATCAATTCAAATTCAAAAAACAATTATGTTATTATTTACAGACTAGTACAAGAGATCTTGACTCACATTCAAAATTCGAGTGATCCAGCTCGAATAAGTTTCGTGGGTCATTCTCTGGGCACGATCATCATTCGCTCGGCACTGGCCAGGCCACAGATGAAGCCATATCTCTCCAAACTGCACACCTTCCTGTCTCTCAGTGGACCTCACCTAGGGACCCTGTATAACTCCAGTGGACTGGTTAATGCTGGTAAGTTGCAACTTGATCACAGTAAAAGGTACGGCATTCGTCCTATTGATTTTTGATTCGTGACGAATTTTAATGAATTCTTTAAATATTAGTGCAAGTGCTTATTAATCCTTACGAGATTTTTAGCTTTACTTATTATATATCACTAGCGACCCGCCCCGGCTTCGCACGGGTGCAATATGCATGATATAAACCTTCCTTAAGAATCACTCTATCTATTAAAAAAAACCGCATCAAAATCCGTTGCGTAGTTTTAAAGATCTAAGCATACATACGGACATACAGCGAAAGCGACTTTGTTTTATACTATGTATTGATTGATAATCACAAACAGTACACATTATTAAAAAGAAAACATATCGGCCAACATGGGAAATCTAACTAAACGAAAAAACTTTATTAACTTCTTACTTAATTGCGCTGACGAGTGATATGGCAATACGAAGTCCTTTAACTTCAAAAACCCAATTGTTCCAGGTATGTGGTTTATGCAGAAATGGAAGAAGTCTGGGTCTCTGCTGCAGCTGTCTCTCCGGGATGCGTCAGACCCTCGGCGGTCGTTCCTCTACCGGCTGAGTGAGAGGAGTCAGTTGCATCAGTTCAAACATATCCTGCTCTGTGGCTCCGGACAAGACCGATACGTTCCACTGCACTCCGCAAGATTGGAACTCTGCAAAGCCGCAGCTAAAGACACATCACTTCTAGGACAAGCTTACAGGGAGATGGTTTGTAGTCTTCTTTATTTTGCTGTTTGATATTTTACATGGATTAGGCCGGCAAAAGAGCAGACGGACTGATGGTAAGCAATCAGCGCCACTCATGGACACTCGCAACACCTTTTGGCGGTTAGGTTTATGCTCTAAGTTTTACTTGTTTTATGTAGTTTTATATTTTTTGTTAATTCTGTTATCAATGGGCTCTATTTCAGTTGTTTCCGCCCACACACGTGGTTATCTCGTAAACGTACCATAATAATTATAATAAATAGGTTTCTATTATATCTAATTCTTGGTATTTCTAAACGTATCATAAAAACTTTATCGCTGAGGTCAGTGTCATTGAACTTGGTTCACAAACCGCCACGATTTTTTTCTGGACACCTTAGTAGGTACTCTGTTTTAATAATAAGTAGTTCATAATTATATAGTTTTAACATAGTGTTTGCCGACACCCTCAGAAACAATAAATAATTTGCGGATCGATAAAGGCCAGATACGCCGCGGTCTTGCGATATGATTAGGTACGCAGTTTTAGTTTACGAGACCACGAATTTTCTAAACTATAAGTATAGGTCTTTGAGAGTCATATAGTCGATTAATAGAAACAATATTTTGTCGCGAAACAGAGAACTCATTCATCTTACGCTGACCATATCAAACTACGAATACCTAGGTAGTTTATAGAAATGTAGTGTGTTTGTACATGCAGATTAATCTACGGAATTGATAAAGAAGTAGAATAGGTGCGAGGAGCTCTGTAGTGTCTGTCCCACTATGGGACCAAAACATTAGTTTATGTATGTAGACATGAATTATTTACTGAGGTTTTCCGTAGGTAGGTAGTTATCTTATTCGAGCAGTTCAATTAGTCTCAAGGTGTTTGTTTGGTGAGTGTGTCTGACAATGGCGGCCGGCGCGCAGGTGCACAACATGGTGTCCCCGCTGGCGCGCGCGGCGGGCGGCGGCGCGGCCGTGGTGCGCTACGAGGTGCAGCACGCGCTGCCGCACACGGCCAGCGCGCTCGTCGGCCGCGCCGCGCACATCGCCGCGCTCGACTCCGACCTCTTCATCGAGAAGTTCCTGCTCGTCTCCGCGCTCAAATACTTCCGATAACAAACTTACTATCTCTACCACTCTCACTTCCTAACCAACATCCCTCATACTTCCCACAGTATGCTGTAACTCCCGCGCTACTCAGCTCGCCATAAACGTCTCTTCCATATCCAATTTGCCCCAATTTAATACCAACCGCCATTTTAGCATTTTATCTCACACAAACCTATATAAATAATTATGTACCTAGATCATTGTGGATACTGTTTTTCAGGTAAGTTAGAATTAAGCATTTATTTGTAGTGAGAATGATAACACAATCAGTTTAATTTACCTAAATGTCGTATCCAATTTTCCAGGTGGTATCCAATTGTTTTCTTTAGCACAGGCTTGTATTTAAAACCGGCATCAAGAAAATATCACAAAATTCCATTGGATGAGACTTTGTCATACATGTGGTAAATGTAGTACAACTAGCGTTGAGGAATGAGCCATAAGGCAACCATATGTGGTTATAAAGCAGAAGGAAGGCCATGAGAACACTCTTGAGACAAGAGTAAGCCAATCCTGAAAATAATAACAGATCGCAAAGTCGTTATATACATAGGCACTCATACCTAGTTGCGCGTATTGCCTACCTAATAAACGAGATACATGTTATATACCTACCTACTGCTATCCTTTATAGGTAGGTTTGAAGTATTTATACCCACAAACCGGCTGTGTAAGTACTATCAGAGAAACCCTTGCAATACTTGAACTGATTTAAAAAAAACATTTAAAAAACTTATCTGCACAAATTAGTGTTTTGATCCTTGTCTCATCCAGCTATTTATGTAAATATGGCTAAAAGTTTTAATTAAATTAATTAGCATTTTATTTTAACTCGCATTTCGTAGGTATTTTAATTTTATGGTTTTTGAAATTTTCAGATTTACCTGCCTTATTTCTATACCTTAGAAAGGGAATATATTTTTTATTGATAACATTCTATAATAACAAATACCTAATCAAAGAAATAATAACTGATAAAGAATAGGGGCAAATATTTCAACAGGCTAAGTATATGCTAACTAGTTAAACAACTTAATTATAATTCGGTGTGGTATTAAAATGGGTATTTTGGGTTTGTATTAAAAATTGAAACTCTGGCTTCAATTTTCACTGGGTATCATGCCCCTATCTAGTCTCGATCCATGCTGATCACCTTGAAACAACACCATGATTCATCTCCCAAGACCTACAGGATTTTCGAAATTATAAATAGACTTGGTGACAGCGTGATAATTCGTAGCATCTGAAACGTAGTGATTTTATGAACTCTGTTGAGGGTTAACTTACTTAATCAACAATTTTAAATATTTAAGTAGGTTTTAAAATGGATCTTTACACCAATTAATTAAGACTAAGTATAATTTTAGCGAGTGTAGATAATATAGGTAGATGTTATTTGTGTTATGGTTCGATATTATTATGAACGGTACCTACCACTTTATAAAATCTGATTGTTTGCTATGGATGTACCCGGCTGGCCGTATTCAATCAATTTACTAGTATCCAAGAGTATCCTTGGAACATAAAACAGTTTAATCATATATCGCATAGGTTGACACGCCCTATAATTGTGTTAATTTACATCCATAGTAAACAAATGATGATCTCTATATCCTTGTTTCTCCTCCACTTCTTAGGCCCATCATAAAAATCTAAGCACTATTAATATTAATTATTTTCTACTTTACTTGAATTGTAAATATGGGTCTGATGTGTGTATGACTAAAGTAAACCCTATCTACCTACCTAATGAAATCAATTATCTAATGTTGCACAAAGGGTTTTAAGAATAGTTATTAATAAGATATCTAAGTACAGAGTTTAATTGATCACCACAATTGAGTTTACTATTGTCGAGCAGGAGAACTAATCAACCAGCCCGTAGCCTTAACGTAAACAAAAAAATATATAAACTACTTAACATTAGATGAAAGTTGTAAATCTTTAACGAATGTTAGACTGATATTTAAAAATATACTGACACAGACATTATATTATATATGTATAATAAGTTTCATAGATTATCTTTTCTGATAAATTGGTACTTACACTTACTAGTGAATATTTTTGTTAAGAAAAGTTAAATCTTGCTCTGTCCACTTGTGTTATTCTGTAGATAAAAATACTTAATACAGGGCTTGGATTATTGATTTACTATAATTATTCGACGCATTAGTGTACCACTGAGATAGTAATTGTAGGTAGGTGATACGATACCTCTTTATTGCTCACAGGCATGCTTGGAGGAAATGACAACGTTACAGTTTCTGTCGAACTGTCGATCTTTGAAACTTGAATTAAAATTAATTACAATACATAGACCACTATTGGGGCATACCTGTAAAAGTGTATCCAACTCCTAAAAACGAAATATCGTTTTTTTAATAAAAAATACCGATTTAAATAATTAGCCAGAAAATAAACAGGTGAGGATGTTCCCACAAATCACAGTTAAAAATGCTTACAAACATGAAGGTATATTTTCGTAAAACATTAAATCACAATGTTATCCAACAATACAAAGCAATTGACGTGTTTAATAATGTTTGTAAACTTTCTCAACAATTGTATGGGAGCCCTGTTTAAAGATCAATACCACTCAAGAGTTCGTCCCTCGACGTTTAGCCCACTACCACAAATATAAAGCTAAAATAAAATACGTCTCTTAAACTACTTCATTTAAAATAAAGTTCTATTGAAACTGGCGCCTTTGTCGTAACCCTTTATTTAATGCAGATTATTAAATACCTACTTATCTAGGTGTGTATCAAAAACATCTCGAATGAATTTTGTAAATATTATAAAAAATATTTGTAAATCGTATGTTTAATGGCAATGTGTCGATGTTATACACTTATGATAATAAATAAATAACGCCTGAAATGTTATTTTTATTTCCTGTAAGTTACCAATACAACACATGTTCAAAATCTTCCACATTTCTCACCAACCTTTCACAAAATTTTATATGTAATTTTTTTATGGAATAGGAGGCAAACGAGCGGACGGATCACCTGATGGTAAGTGATCAGCGCCCAGAGGACGCGACACAGGTGCGGTGCCTTTTAAAAACGAATACGCTCTTTTCTTGAAGGTTTGAAAGTCGTATCGTTTCGGAAATACCGCCGACAACAGATCATTCCACAGTTTTGCTATGCGAGACAGAAAGCATCGTGATGATGACACCATCTATATGATGGTATTAAAATGTGTCCAAGTTGAGACCATAAGTGTGGGAGACACTTGCGTTATGCTTCGTCGTGTGAGTGAGATTACCGAAGGCCCATTTATCCCCCTCCCAAATCCCCGGTTCCCCAACAATCCTCAAATTCCTAATCCTCAGAATAGTTCAGTAATTTGGTGGAGAACTTTCAAACTGTATTTGGCCGCCATTTTTCCAAGATGGCAGCGCAAGCGGCCCACGTACAAAAGCGTATAATGGAAATCGAAAAGAACACATCTATAAAATGACCGATTTTTAAATTCTTGATAAACTGTCCAGGTAACCCCACATATCCCTCCTTAATAAAATTGTCGGACTAAAAGGACGGTAACGCATTTGTAACAACTCAGGTTCCACCGGTACCACCAATTACTTACCATCAGGTACTCCGTCTCCTCGTTTACGGGATTATACCATAAAAACACTCATATTGTCAAAAAGTAACCAAATCTGATTCAGAGCAAGGTTTCTAACCCTACATGTCAGTCCTAAATACATAAAATAAACCTTAATAATTTTACGCTTCAGTTTCGGCAGCCGTAGCTCGTAGCGCGTAGTCCGTTGCACATAACATAACATCACGCCTTTTATCCCCGAAGGGTTGGAACGTGCACATTACGGCATTTAATGCCACTGTACAATGTAACACCTACTTTTCATATTTATAAGTCCCATAGGGGTGAGCCTATTGTCATTTATCGGGCACATTTGCAAACTCCGTGCTACAACTGAGATTTTTTTAAATCCCAGTAATACTTTGCCTTACCCGGGAATCGAACCCGAGACCCATTGCCTTGCGACCACTCGGCCAATGAGGCAGTCCCTAGTTCGTTGCGCGTAGCAGCATTATTTTTTTCGGGAAAAGAAGGTCCCACCCTAACACTTTCTGCTGTGTTGCGGGCGTGCATACATATTAACATACACATCAATCACACCTAGAGCCGGAACAACAATATGTGGCCCACACATAGTTATTTCGTCCGGGAATCGAACCCACGACACGTTGCACAGCATTCGGTTTCCCGGCAACTGCCTATGCCAACTGTGCAATCAATTGAACCTTGAATGTGACTTTGATTTGTGGACAAAATGCTAGACCTAGCTCGTAGAGTATATTTCGTGGGGCGTAGTACGTAACGCGTATTCGTAGTTCGTACCGCATAACTGTAGCAGTTAGTTCTTACTTAGTTCGTAGCGTGTAGCTCGTCGATCGTAACGCGTAGTTCATAGATCGTAACGCGTAGCTCGTAGGTCGTAACGCGTAGCTCCTAGATCCTGACGCATTGTTCGTAGCCCGTAGTTCGTAACGCGTAGCTCTTAGATCCTGACTCATAGCTCGTAGCGCGCAGTTCGTAGGTTATGTCGCGTAGATCGTAGCTTAAGTATTATTTGATTTTTGTGTTGATTGAAAATATCAACGCAAGTTATGTGTAAGTTTTGAAAATTAAAAAAACTGACTATAAAGGTATTAATAGGTCAGTATTATTTTCAAATTCTATTTAAATTAAACGGTAAAGTAGCAGATTGGGAGGATACTTACTATTATAATTTAGTTGTTAAAAAAATATTGTTTATAGATCAAAATTATTTAATGAGATAAAAATCAACATAACAGGTATACCATACATATTTTATACATTTAAGTTTCAAGGCTTCCAATAACTAAAGCTAATAATAGTACCAAATGTAGCCAAAATAAAACTGGTTTTTTTATCAATAGATAACTAAGAATTTTTATGTTTATAAATCAGATGAAATCCGAAAATTATACATAAGGTATAAAAATTTGGTATACTACAAAATACAACAATAAGTACTTAGGTACATTTAGAATAAGTAATTCAACACTGACACAATAGCACACTTACAATAAGCAATATCAAAAACAACATCATACCTTTTATTCAACAAAGGTCTGGGCAGAGATTCACATGTAACATATCAATATGAGACTCACATTCCAAATGATATTGTCAATATGTCAGGTTATTTTTCTAATTAAATTAATGCTACACTACTAACTAGTAAATATTTAATTTCTATTTCACGTAGGAATGTATTTGCAGCATGCGTTATGCAGCACCACCCTCGCTGCAAATGTTTTTTTTTACCCGGGGCTCTAATTATGTTATTTACCCTATATCCCCTTAGAAAAAAAACATTGTGTCCGTTATTGATGGGCAACACTAGTACAAATCTGACTTTCAATTTTATATAGATAGATCCCCAAGCGGTCACCAGTGACCGCTCTCCACTAACTACATTATAGACCTTATTTCCAATATTTAGAGTGTATTTTTATATGATCGAATTTAGGGGATGATTTTCAAGGGGTTAATATGGCAGTCAGTGTCAATAGCACCAAGTGTATATACCTACTTTATATGTTCTGTGTAATATATCAATGAATTAAGTACATGACTAGCAGAATATGGCTGTATGTATAAAACAATTATTTCACATTACAATAGTAATATACCAAGGTATTTCAAGGCACTTTGAGTGTAAAAATAACATTATACATGATTAACATTTTAATGTGTATAAAAATAAATAGGCTAGGCCTACAAATACATGTTTTGAACTTTTGAGAACTATAACTATTTATTTTTCATTAATCTTCGTTTTACCTATACAAATACCAGTATTTTTTTTAAGGGGGGAAAATCATCTAATGACTACTCCCGCCTGGGTGAAGCAGGAGGGAGTGTCAGACTCTTACTGACTAAAAACCACCCCGTTCCTTCTCCTGCACATCGAGCCGGAGTCCCGGTTACCCGTTAGGTTCCCCGCGACTCCTAACAAATACCAGTATAGATAGAGTTCATTAAAATAGTGTAACCATAAACATTTAGTGCAATAGATTAAAGAAGATTTACATAATATTTCTTATCTACTCATCTTTTGTTACTACAACTTATACAACAAAGCAATCAAATTGCCTACAAAACATGAAACACTAAAGTAATGCTAGATAATAAAACAAAAAAACTTATTCTTTATACCTACCATCAAAAATTACATAATTAACAAAATAACAATCAAGTTTTTTGGAGTGTTCCTTAAATAGGTACTACAGAAGTAGTGACAGTAAATATTAAACATTTAACATAAAAACAAATTTAAAATCTTACCAAGAACATGTAACCTGGTTGTTACATTACCATAGGACACACTCCCGAGAACAAACAGTGATTATTGGCAATCCATTTTTCAAAATCTTCTTTTATAGTTAATGCAATACTCATAATCTTGATGCAGTTATTCTCAGCCCAATTGGACTCGAGATAAGGCTCACCCACTATTTCATTATAAAGAGCACCCAATTGGTATGAACGTTTCATTCCAATTGTTCTATAAAATTGTTCTCTGTACAGTTTCCAGAATAACATTGGTTTGGTCAAAGGTTTTTTTAAAGAATCATTTGTGTACTTTCTTATATCATCAGCTTGCAATACATCAAAAAATGCATAAAGGCTATCAGAGCACAGGATATTGTCCTCATCTGACAATTCAAATTTAAGTGTCTTAAGATGATATTTAAGCAACTGTAAGTGAAACTTTAAAGCATTATGGCCAATTAAGCACACAGGCTTCTCCAAACAATTTATGAAAGAGTTGATGACTTCACATGCTCGTTCATCAAAAACAGGCTCATCTTTCAAGAGATTAGGCTTTAATCCCGTCATTGAAACACTTTTTTTGCACATACTCCTCTCAGTAGAAAAGCACTTGTGTAGTTTATACTGAACTCGTGGTAGTTCATCAGGGTCTGTGTTCAGAAAATGTGTGCGCTTTACAGCAACCATGGCCAGTTCCGTAATTTCTACGATCCTGGAGTTGACGGGCAGACCGCTAGATTGTAAATCTATAAACACATAGGTTGCTATAGGCTTCATCTTACCAAGTGAAAATATGAACTTGAACTTGATAAAACGTAGGTAACAGGTGACACGGAAGGTAGGTAGGTACCAATCTCCAAGACTCTTAGGTCTTAACTGGTTCGTTAGTTACCTCTTTAAAAGCTAATTGTTTTAACACTGTTATTAGCAGATGAGATAAATTCCTAATTATTATTATTATATTTAGATAATTTTCAATTCAACTTGGTTTAATTAAGCACAAAACACTAACGACTGGTTCACTTTACATTTCACGCGTGTATTGTACTATTACTACTATTGTAATATTGTATTGCTAATGTTACTATTTGTTATTTTGTTACAATTATCCCAAATGGCGCCTCTCTCTCAGCCCTCGGAAAGACAGAGACAGAATATTTTCGTTCGTGTTGTTTGTGCCGCCAACGTTTAACTAGTCTAACCGACTGGGCTAATAATCGAGTTTCATAGACATAATAATTAAGTTTAAAATACGCACGAAACTACTTTTCCTTAAGTTTTTGAAATAACAAACACTGACTATTGATTGACACAGACACAATAAATGCAGTCACTACTTATTTCTACCTATGTAAAAAATGTCCTAACCGGAAATCCATAATAGATTATTCCTGCCCTTATTCTAGAGGTAAATAACGGCACGGTTTAGTGCACAGATGTAATAATGTAGGTAATGTGTATTTCGTTAATTTAATCTTTTCTTACAGTTTCTCCTATACAAATACAACTTATTATCATCCATTCATTTTCTCTTAGGTCTCTTTTTTCCTAACTTTTCAATCGTATTTATATAAATTAATTTCGTCTTGACAAACGCACCATGTTACTTTCATATCTTCTCACTAACCAACCAAGAATTATCAAGAACTCCAAGATTTTATCTCGTGATAATTTCAATTCTGCTTTAGTGTGCAATTTTCTTTCATCCATTTTTAACAGCTTCGGCTTCAAAACTAACAGTACGATTATTATAATTATTTGGCGTAGTAGGTACGTAGGTACTCATTCTAACGTAAAACTATGAAAATAAATCAACATTCACCCGAAACGCAAGGCAACCACAATTTTTTCCAGTTAAAGTTAAATTTTAGCACACTATGTGGGCGGGGCGGTCACAATCGTCACCCACCATAGTATTTATTATTCTATTATGGTTACTTCTCTGACATGTGTAGTATAAGTACCTACTTACAGGATGTTTGGCGAATGGACCGCCGACCGACACATTTTTTTCCAGAGACTTGGGAGGTAGCTTACCTACTTTAGCTACCTTTTACCCATAAACCATAAGAAACGGCCGGCTCGACCGGAGTGATATCACGGTCTCTTAAAAAAAACGACGTGAAACAACGCTAGCGTAGTGTTTCGTCGTGTGAGTGAGGTGACAGGTGGACTAATTACCCCTCCTTCCCCAATCCCCGAATCCTCCACAATCCTCAAATTCCCAATTCCCAAAAGACCGGTAACGCACTTGTAACACCTTGGTGTTTCAGGGTATGGTATCCATGAGCGGTGTCGATTGCTTACCATCAGGAGACCCGTCTGCTAGTTCACCGGCTTGTGTCATAGAAAAAAAAACCCTTCGTCGCAAGTGTCACGGTTGGTCAGATATGTTTTTGTCGAAATGAAATATTTTCCCAAAATCTCTCCTTTAACTCAAAATTAACTTTTTTGTTCAATAGCTCTAGTGGTCCAAAATAATAATTTTATTGTATACTAGCAAGCAGCCCGTCCCGGCTTCGCACGGGGTAGACAATTATTTATTTTTGGAAATTTGGATTTTTGTAGTGACATAACTACAATAGTTGGACATATGCTATCGCGGAGTTTTTTGTAGACATTATGATGTTCTTCAATATAGTTGTACCTATGTAGGTACATTATTTTGTTCATCGCTAATAGTTTCGGCAGCGCATTCGACGAAAGACATTTTAAGACTCATTTTTCTACACCTTCGGTTACATTGTTCAAATTTTACCAAGGATCCCTAATTTTTTTCAAAATGAAATATAGCCTATGTCAAATTGGAAGAATGTAGCATTCTATTGGTGAAAGAATTTTTTAAAACGGCCCAGTACTTTTTGAGCCTATTCATTACAAACATACAAAAATAGGTACAAATCCTTCCTCTTTATAATATTAGTATAGATTGTTCAATAGATCTAGTGGTCGAAAATAATAATTTTATTGTATATGTACTTAAAAAGTCTATTAAATCTAAATAAATCTTTGTTTGGCACAAATGGATTCCAAAAAAATCTTACAAGCTTCCAAAGTTTAATTTTTTATTCTTACGTCTGAAATTTTTCAACTTCTCAATTAATTATAAAAAATAACAAAAGCTATGTTGTCCTTCGTTTCATTTTAATTTAATTATATAGTTCCTTAGATTATACCCTTTCTAAAAATATGCTACAAGTCATAGAAATTATTCATTTAAAAACACAAATTTACCGTGCCCGTATTTTTAGGTACGAGAACACCACACAACAATGGAACCTATTTTATGAAACCGACTTCAAAAACCAAGAATTAAAGTTCAATTTATGGATAAAAGGTAGCTAACGACCTTCCAAATCCTGTAAAAAATGTATCCGCCCATGCGCCAAACATCCTGTATAGTGATTCGCAAAATTCCGCCGTAGTGGCGTCGTGGCGCCACTTCAACGGAATTATGGCTCCAAGGCCAACATCTAGACGAGTACATCAGCGTTGGTGTTGCCAGGTATCCCGATTTACGTGAGACGTCCCGATTTTCAGGAGTCTAGGTATGCGTCCTAATTTGACCCTGATCGGGACGTCAAATTTCCCGATAAATAGATTAAATAAAACCAGAATCATTAGAAAAGAAATTACGCATTACATCACATCAGGTTCAGGTCAGTTTACTTTGAACGTGATTATTTATCATATAATAATTATGTTTAGACAAGATAATAAGGGTAATCCGTACTTTCTTGAACCACACCTTTTTTCTTTTTTTTATGGCATAAGCCGGTAAACGAGCAGACGGATCACACGACGAAACACAACGCAAGCGTTGTTTCACATCAGTTTTCTGTAAGGCAGTGCTATCACTCCGGTCGAGCCGGCCCATTCGTGCGGAAGCATGGCTCTCCCACACTTAAAATTAGCCAGCTAGAAGCACTGAAGATCATCGAGAGGCGTGCTGCTGGCGTGCTCTCAGGTTCATTAATGATGATGCTTTAATGGTGCTTCAAAGCCTCGAAACAGGCAAAATCAGAAGGCCAAAAAAACAAGGCTTTCGATTTTTTATCATCTAATTCCCCAAAAGAACTATCCTCACCATCACACCACCATACAACTGTTTACGGCAGATATCCCATCCCACCTACACGGACAACTTTCGTTTTGCCTGAAGTTTTTTAGAGGAGGAACGTTGTTTCCCACTGCTGATCTGATCTGATTTGATCTGCCCACCTGCTTTTTAGCCAGCATGACTACTTTGCGAAAGGAGGAGACGGGTTCCCAGTTTCACTAGCTCAGCACCCTATTCTGAACCAAAGCCGGACGCGAGAGGTCACCGTCACCATTGGCTTTCTCAAGGACACAGCGGTGGTGCTCAGCCATGCAGCGCACAACGCCACCGTATGACCTGTGTCCTTTGGGTGGTCCTCACAGTGATAACACCCTCTCACTGAATACGAAACACTATCACCTCAATCTTTTGAGCTTTGAATTGTTTGGGCTTTGATTCTGGTGAGATAATCCTAACTCCATATAATCCACTTGTGCTGGTGCGGTGACGACAAGCGATGAATTAGGTACCAGCTCATTAAAAGTATAACTTTACTTTCAGGGCCTTTAAACGAGTCATTGCGATGACGAAGCCGCAGCACATCAGTATAATTGAATTCGAGACTCTTGAACGCCTTCTTTCAAAAACTCGTGCGTTTAGGCGTACGTACGGCACATTGAATTCCGTGCGCGCCTCAAAGAGTCATCAGACCATCACGGCTAGGGCCCAATAAGGCTGATGCCGATACATAGCCGCGGAGGACTTAATGGGTTGCCGGGGTTCCGGCTTAAAGCGCAGGACTACTCCTGCGCTTCAAGCCGGAACCCCGTTCCTACGAACGGGGTGATTTTTAGTCAGAAAGAGACCTGACACTCTCCTGCCTCACTGAGGCCATTCGATGATTATACCCCTTAAAAAATCATTTTGTTTTTAAAAATATGCAATGCAGTAAGTGCTACTCGTACGTATAGACATTAAAATAGTATATAAGTGCTTGCGAAACAGTTTCTATAAAACATTTAGGATTTTGGTTTGTCAGTACAGTAGGCACCGCAGGCGCCGTCTCCGTCCTCTGAACGCGGAGGCGGGAGAAGCGGAGTTATACGAGGGATACAGGACGGACGGCAAAGGCCGCCCTCAAGGCGGAAATAAAGTGGGCCAAGGAGGAGAGAATGACTTTTCCCGCCTCACCCAAGCGGGAGAAGATATTCGATGATTTTCCCCCCTTAAGAAAAATTTGCTTTGTCTCGATCTACGACTCAAAAACCCCATTTATTTTGCCTTATGTACCGATTTAAATAAATCGGACCTGGCAACACTAGTCAGGGTCTTCAACTTCAATCAAATAAATAATATCAACTCTGCGGCAAACAGAAGCGCGGTACGTAGGTTATCGGTCATTGCTGTTCGCACAGCTAGTACCTAAGAATCGGAACAATAATATTTGCCTACTTACTTTCCATAACTTTTTATACGTTCTATGTTAATTAAATTGGACCCGAAATACCAACATATTGTAACTCTTTATCATAGTTTATACAAAGTAAGAATTGGAAGAACAAAGTGACAATTGATTAATTCAGGAAAACGTACTGTGGTTTTATCTACTTTATTCATAAGAGACAAGAAGATTGTTAGGTAAAGGTTCTCATCAAGACTTCTCAGTTTGAATAACATGGCGGTAGCTACTTATGTATTTGTTGATTTACAATCAAACTGTGTTCCAAAATCAAACAAAGAAATAGAAATCACTGAATTGTGTATGTTAGCTATAAAACATTCACACATAGTAAAGAACAAGGATGTAAATGATCCCCGTATTCAACATAAACTCCAAATGTGCTTCAATCCCAAATCTTCATTGCATGAAAATGCTTCAGAAACCGGATTGACAAAAAATCTACTGAAGAATGAAGCAACATTAAATATGGAAGTATGCCAACTGATAAAAGCATTTATTGAGGGTCTGGAAGCCCCAGTGTGTCTTGTAGCACATGATGGCTTTAAGTTCCACTACCCATTACTTGTGCACCATTTAAAGGAATTTGGTGTTGAGTTAAATAAAAACATTGTGTGCACTGACAGTCTGTATGCTTTTCTTGAAATATTGGAATCAGAAAAAAAAGGCAGTACAAAGTATGTAAAAGTGAAGGTTGGTAAAAAACCTAAGAAAAATACCATTTCAAAAGCTAAACAACATTACATTCACATTGTGAACGGGACTGATAAGGACTTGATACATATGAGAAAAAGCATAAATAATTATAAAAACATAAATGATCTTTACAATAATAATTGCGAATATGAAGACGAAGGCTTGGAGTCTAACAGAGCTGAGAGCCATTGCATCATGCTTATGAGAATGGTGCTTTCAAAAAAGGACCAGTTTTTGGCATGGCTTGAAAACAATTTATGTCTTTTTTCGGAGATGCCGAATAAATTGTAATGTATGACAATGTATATTGTATTTGTATGCATTTTATTGACAATCTTATGTCTCTAAAATATTTAGACAGAATAAAACATTTTTGTTTACATAAGAGCTTAAAAGCTCCCATATTTTGAATGTTTTTTTATAAGTTTTGCTGCTGGGCCGACGTTCAGCACTATGACGTTGTCAATTTATATGTAGTTGAGTAAGTACAAGATAATTTCTAGTTTAAATTTTATGTAATTGTTATTCTAATTCACATTATTATTGTTATGTAACTTTAGTTGCTTTCTTTGTCTAAATAATTTGTGATTATATTTAGTCACTTTTTGCACTAAGTGCCTATTGCCTAGCACTTGCTTGGCTGAAATGTGGAACTGTTTTGTACCACCAATAATATTATCGTTTATACTTAGTACTAAGTACATGGTTTCTGAAATTCAAATTATTATAACTGTTATAAATCCAATGTGATTATTATCTGGATGTTTCATTTACCTGTAGGTTTATTCCTGTAGCACATTACACTTTGTTACACACACAAAGTCAGTGTTGGATGTGCCCATAAACTTATAATACCTAGGTACTCTTTGGTTGGTTGCAAACACTAAAGTAACAAAGACCAATAAAATCTATAATTAGGTAGATTCTATAATACTAGAACTCTATGGCCTTAGTTTGCACTAAGGCCATAGAGTTTCAAATGAAACCTATAATATAGGTCTCAAAATGACTTTTTTAAGGGGGGAAAATCGTCGAATAACTGCTCCCGCCTGAGTGAGGCAGGAGGGAGTGTCAGACTCTAACTAAGTAACTAACTAAAAACCACCCCGTTCCTTTTCCTGCACATCGAGCCGGAGCCCCGGTTAGCCGTTAGGTTCTCCGCGGCGTCTCAAAATGACTAGTGTAGGGACCTATCTAGAACATCTAGAATAAATTGTCATGTTTTCATAATATATAAAGAAACTAAAAGTTTCAGCTTTGATATGTAGATAGATGCGAGTATTTCTTTTACATGTCGCATGATTTTTTTTATAGTTCATAACATATAGTGGATAAACAACTTTATTAGTTCTTAGTTTCTTACAGTGGCGCCATCTTAAAAATAATTAGGAACTTTGTATTTTACAAGTAGTATTTTGTAGAGTAGAGGCATAGACTAGGGATGGCGACAGGCGAACTGAGATCGATTAATCGATGAATCTATCTTTTGGGGTAAAAAAATCGATTATATGCATTGAATCCATCTCAGACAGCTAAGATCCTTATACGATTTTTGACTTGAAAGAAACCATACAATTACATACAAATGAAATCATACATAAGGGTGTGATTACCCGGGCCAGATGTTGTCGAAAATGGTAATTTGAATCTTATAGATATGTAATTAGTTTTGCGGCTTCTGTAATTGTTGCGCACATTTTTAAATTTGTTGAGCATATAGTTATTTAATTATTTCACAAAAACATTTCCTGATGGGGTAACGTTACCCAAGCCAGACTTTTTTCTTTGTAATGGGAATATTTAAATAATTACTAACTATAAAATTAGTTGTCTAGATGAAGTAAATGTTGTGCCTTATTTTGTATTTGTTCTTTCATTGGTTGCGAAGTTATTCAAGATTTTGATGGGGTAACGTTTTTGGTTTTGCTAGATCTTTGAAATGGTTAAGCGGATTTTTATCATATTTTGTAAATTGATTCTTAGGAATTGGTTTAAATTTGTTCTGCAATAAAAAAAACAAAACAATACATAGCTTAAAGGGTATTTCATTAACTCGTCGAGTACCGGTTTTGTAGACACAATTATAGAACAATAGGTTGCGGTCACCGGTGACCGCTTGGTGTTTGACAGTTTAACTCGTCGAGTACCGGTTTTGTAGACACAATTATAGAACAATAGGTTGCGGTCACCGGTGACCGCTTGGTGTTTGACAGTTTAAATAGAAAAACACTTAGTCCCAGCACTCTCAATAAGGGCTCTGAAGACTTACTTTAAACGCTATTTTAAAGCTTGTAACTGCCTTAAAATTTATATGAAGTTTCATTAATCTATGGCGATTGGGCACGGAGGTAACATATTAATATTTTACCATTTCAAATAACTACTAAAAACTATCTATCTCTTTCTGCGTTAAGACAAATTACCGTATAATAAAAGAGGACACATTTTTTTAGTTTAAATTTTATTTTTTCGATTCATAGTAGCATGGTACCTCTATAATTCTACGTATTTTGTATAGTACAAAAGGGCAAATCCTCTCTTTGTTTGTGGGTCATTCATTGCTATAGAACTAATCTCCAATACCGCGCGTCAAAAAACATTGAACCAAGTAATGGTTAACTCGAGTACCTACTTACCTAACTCCTCTACCTAAGTTTATACTAGTTTTTTTTTCATGAGATTTTTATGTTTTTTGTTAATAACTAATTGTTAGTAAATTGCCGGGAAAATAGTTTTCTTTTTGTTTTTAAATCATTTGACATTTTCTGTTATAGTTCCTAGTACCTGCGATATTTTTAAGACAAAAATGTAAGCATATAATTTAACTAAGGAAAACCACTTTGTGATACTAATCTATAATAATAAATAAATAATTATCGTATTTTCTTGAAAATATTGTGATTATAAAACAATTATGAGCCTGTAAATCATAATGTTAGTCTATTTTATTTTAAAAAGACTGCTATTATATTTCATAGTATAATTGATAGTAGATAATTATTATTTTTAATCAATATTTGAGCCAAAAATACCTAAATAAATGATTCGATTTCAAAAAATATCTTTGTTGTTTCTTTAGTTAGTATGTATAACTCTCCTAATACATTATAAATAAATAATATAAACTAGCTTCTGCCCGCGACTTCGTACGCGCAATCCCATTTTACCCCGTTCCCGTTCGTGATTTTCGGTAAAAAGTTAGAAAAAGTATTCTATAAAAAGTATCCTATGTCCATCACCTGGTTCTAAGCTACCTCCTGCCAATTTTCATCTAAATCGATTGAGGCGTTCTTGAGTTATAAATAGTGTAACTAACACGACTTTCTTTTATATATATAGATTATAGAAACAGAATAACAACAGATAAAAATATAATTTGTATGTTCCCATTTTTTAAAGTATTTATGCCAAGCTGAGGAAATAATTTGGAAAAAGCTCAAAAACCATTTTCTTGTCCATTCAGTTAACTCGAGTTATGTAATTCGAGCTCAACACGAGTTACGTAGATTTTAACTTGGGTTTAATCGAATATTGTTTTTCCGAGTTGGCACATCACTCAGCCACTTTTGACATACAAAGACGTAGCTTTGAAACATAGATATATTATTATATCGGTGCTTTGAAACCACTAGGTATATAGACCAAAGAGTATAATAAGTATAGGGGATACATTAGAAAAATATATATATTATATCTCAAAGAATTATGTAAGTATAACTCTACGCTACGGTATAACTCAAGTCGCAACAACAATAATGACCGCTATGATTAGACAGAGATAGAAATATAAACAAGGTCAGGAAGTGTTGCCTGTAAAACATGTAAATATATATATAAAAAAAATATTTTTAAATAATATTAGACGCAAAAAAATATTATATTTTGTAGTACCTAGCTTTTTTAAGTACCAGAAAAGATTATGTAAGTATATATTAGATTGTAATTGTATTTACTTCATAGATTTTTCGTAAATTCAACTCGAAGAATCGAAACCAAAATGAATACTGACCACAGTTAATAAACAAGACTGCAATCTATAAATTAAAATAAATTAATAAAAGTAAAATGGTATATTTTTTTTTGTATTTTTACAATGTAACTTGTTTCATAATTTACATAATTTCCCATTAATATGGGAAACTCAAAAAAATACAATTTATGGCCACACTGCAGTAAAATTGAGTTATTACTAATTATTTATTGCATTTAATTTTAGATTTTTTATTGTTAATAAGAATCAGATAATGACGTCTCCAGCGCCCCTAGTGACGAAATCACGCGCGTTAGGTCCTCTTATTGTCTTGGGAATGGCAACATTCATTCCCCCAATGACAGAAGATTGATAGTCCGCCTGCTGTCTGCCGCAGTGGTGGGTTGTGTTATCGTGCGAGCGTATTATTTCTTACAATTTATTGTAATTTGGGCGTATTGTATTAATTGTTAAGTGAATATAACAAAAATAAAAAGTATTTTATGAATACACAAAGTCTGTGACTAAAAAACAAAGTGACATATTCATAACTGTTGTTGAAAATAGGCAATGCAGTGTTTGCTATCGAGTAGATTTTTTTAAAAAGTTGTCGTTTATTTACTCTGCAATGGGAAAATTATTGAGTCTTTTGTCTCGGGATGACTCGAATTGTTGTTCATCGCCGCGGTATGATATATTTTTGGATTTTGAGAACGCCGCGCCCACAGACACTGAACGCGATGTTTATGAAGAGGTGCAAAGGGTGCTGCTTGACTCAGAGAAAATACTCGAGGAGATACAGTGTTACAAGGGAGCGGGGAAAGAGATACGAGAAGCTATAGCGGACCCATCGAGGATATCACAGGAGCGAGCCTGGCGCGCCGTGCGTCCACTCGTGGACAAACTCCTGCGCTGCTACAATCACTCTCTGCAACTACAGCGGGTAGGTTTCTGAATCATCTCCTCCTACTGTTACTAACTGACCATCACGTCATTAACTTATTTGAAAACTTGTAAACAAAGTTTCTAACAAGAAAATTAAACAGTAGGTAAATTAATATTTTGTGGGTAAAAGTAAAATAATTTCATTGAATAACTAATTAACTCGTCAAGTACCGGTTTTGCAGACACAATTATAGAACAATAGGTTGCGGTCACCGGTGACCGCTTGGTATTTGACAGTTTAATAGAGTTTTAAAATAAATTACTTGCATTTAAAAATAAGCTTAAGGTTATCTAACATTCTGGTTTGTCTTGATTGATTATTATTTATTTTGGTGTAAGTGAATATATGCGGTTAATGTTCAGACAAATATAAATTTCACAATAAAACAATATTTCACACCACTGACATCAGTTCCACTGAACCTAATACTTACCCCCATCTTCACTGTTTTGGAGTTTTGTTCGCATATATGTTTGCCTAATTTGGGCCCCTGTTTTGGTGTTTGGTCTACATATTTTTTAGTTTATTAGCAGACAAGAAACAACAGCTACAACATACTATGCTAATCGAAATATACCTAGTTGAGCTGGTTTTAATAGTGTAAAAATCCAGCATAACTCATTCTTTTTTTTATTCATAAAAATATCAATGATAAGTAACACAATCTTTCCCAAACATTGCTTTAGGATTGTACACTGTCCAATCAAACAGTTTCTCTTTATCTATATTATTAAATAAACATTAAATATTTTAACATAAGACCTCTAGGTACATTGTCATTTTGCATCCTGTATGCTACTCAGATAACTGTGATAAGATTATGTGATGTCACATTGATAAGTTCTCACACTGATACCACTGTAAGCAAATACAACAGTGTTTATCAAGTGTGTATTATTATGGAAATATTCAAAGTATTTTCTTTTATATCATTGTAATACATTACTAATTGTGTGTGTATTCTTTACAGCAAACAATGAAGTAGACTTATCTCAGGCTCCTGTACTAAGTTGCTAATATCCTTCCTTTTTTGTATTACTGTTCTTCCTTTTATCATAAAGGGAAATTCAAAGCCTATTAAACTCTCTATTGTTCTCTAATTGTGTCTATAATGACGGTACTATAAACAAGATAAATAAAAAAAAATAACATTGTAACATCATTTAATTATTGTTAACATTAACATTAACCATCTGGTGCCTTATTTGATAATACTACTAGACACAATTTTTTTCTTTGTTATGAATTCAAGATCTTTATGTTGATTTAATTGATATATCATACCGAAAATCCGTAGAATTTGGACATCCAAAAGTAATCTCTAAACATTGGAAATAAGGTCTGTAATAGAGTTAGAGGAGCTTTCCACGGTCCATCAGTGACCCCACGGTCACCAATGACCGCTTGGGGATTGATCAGTGAAAAATCGCATACATTGTTAAAATAGCAAACACCCAATCTAACCTGTTGAAAACCATCCCCTAAATTTGTTCATACAAAAGTAGTCTCTAAACATCGGAAATAAGGTCTATAATATAGTTAGTAGAGAGCGGTCACCAGTCTCCAAAAACTGGATCATTCATTATCCCTATACGAAAATAAAAACCAAGCATCATTAACATATAAAAAATTAAAGCTCATGCTAGACAGACACTCTGCTAATGAATTAAAATGTCTCCCTAACGAGTTTTTACTCTCTCCAGTGAGCAACATATGATATTTATGAAAATATAAATGGCTATAAATAATAAGACTAGGGTGTCCATTCCGCCGTAAATGTTTCACGGTAGACACGCGTGCTGAAAGGTTACGGCCTAACGACTCGTTTGCATACATTCTGCATTAATTAAAATGTGACTTGTGCTTGTGATTAAATTAAAACTGCAGTCTCGATTTTCTATAAGCGGCTACTGGATAATCATCCTTAACTTTCAAAGGCCTCACGATCATTCCTGATTGCCAAAGGAATTCATTTCTAAACGTCTCAGCACTACGAAAATGGGTAAACTGTTGTAGTAAATAAAGTGCAACATTAAGTCCGGTATCTAAGTATTGCATACAGTACGTACTTCTTTCTTATCCTTTTGTGGAATGTTTATTAAAACTGGATAGCTATAGCTATAACGTAACCAAAAAAAAAGAAAAATTCTGCTTGTCGTCTTCGTTTCTCTGAAGTCCTAAGATAAAACCTGCGATTTTGCCAAGGCCAGTGAAGTTAAATAAATTACTAAACTAAAAGTAAACCGTCACATTCAGTTGTGCTTGTGCCCAATAGATCTTGATGAACAGTAATAAAAAAAATTGCGAGGAAATATTCAGATGGTTATATTGCCTGCCGGAAACACATAAAACGTCCGTTTAGTTGGGAGTATAGAATCCGTAGCATACGGCTACGGCTCCCAACAAGCCCAATCAACTGGTTAGTATCTTTTCGGCTGCGAATGTACGTGTTTCCGGCACGTACGGAGTAGTAGCGAAACGTACCTACCATAACATTCCCATATTTGATATCTTACTCATACAACGCGGACCTAAAAACCAACCAAAGAACGTTGTAGTTATCATACAATCCTGCTCAGAGCCCGCTATGACCTCGAAAGGTTTTCCCGACGAATTGTAGACAGAATTTTTTTTATTTATATATAAGAACATTCTCTTCACCATAAGAAGAAAGGATTAATGAAATCGGTCACCCATTTAAGCGTGATGGGATGACCAAGAGAAATTGGTATTTGGATGATGTAGAGCCTGTAGTCTGTTCAGGACATCTTGTGTTATTCATATTTTCTTTAACAACTTCGTCAAGACTACTGTTGCTACTGTACCTACTTAAATAGCTCCGAATAACTTAAATTGTTCTCTACCCACTGACTATAATTAGTTGTAGGTTAACTTATATTAACGCAAATTATAAATATCTGCGTTAAAACAATTTATTGTGGTTTTAGACTTCGGTAGAAACTGAAATAACGTCAAATGTTGCAGCATCATAACATCGGTGTTATTATTAGAGAGAACGTAAACAAACGTATGCAATAGTATCAAAGAATCATAATAGGTTGATAGCAATTAAAAGTGATTAATCAAACACTCTTTAAAACTAAGTAATATTAAGACGAGCGACCTCCTCTTACATTAATTAGCATTACACGGTCTATATATTTTCAATCCTAATTATTTTTGTTAAATTGTGCAATAAGATTAAGATCCAGGTCAAGCATAAAAGTATTACAGTTTTTTTGATCACAGATAACTAATATTTCTTAGCATCCCGTGTTATTTTAATTGGAGCAAGTGCTTGCTGTTCATTATCCAATTTACGTAATGACTGTAGCGGATTCACTCCACTTTCTAGTGCAGTCTTTGTCTAGAATCTAGATGCAGCTGAAATGCACTGTTTTTAGCACATTCCTTGAATCTTGTCATCCATTATTAATGATTTTTAACGTAGTCTGTATAAAAGACTTTTTGCTTTTCTAGGGAGAAAAGTGAGATAAAATTAGAAGAACTGCCATTAACACCCATGAAAGCGCAAATAAATAAAAAATAATAATCCTAACTTACCTCTCACGCACCCTACCACGTCCATTACGTGCGTCAATCATCTAATCAGAACGGTCACAACTCACACGAGCTGTGTGAGAATGCGTAGCATATGATAACGCATGCTGCATCCTCTGAGGGCAATGTAACCATCAATTTATTCGCCTTATTAGATCTTCTGATTTATAATACATAAATTAATGTGAACATTGTCATGCTTGATCTTTGAGAAAATGCCTCACGCCTATTAGTTTTATGTCCTTTTATGATTGGAGGAAATCATTTGTGTGAATTATAGTTACTACACTTACTACATACATATATGATCTACATGCTTTCATTAACGTTGATTATTGAGCCAGTAATCCCTATTTGGTCAACTCGTCTTCTAAGAGATCTTCATTAGAGGGTCAACTATTGTCAGCTGGAACTTAATTGTCAAATAGTTCCGAAATCTCTCAGTTGAAACTTTCAACTTGAAAGACCACGAAAGACACGTTAAACTCCAACTGATCTTGATACGATAAAATTTACTAACTAGTCTAGTAGATTCTCCAAAAATGTTGCTGGTAGGTCAAGTTTTTTATTGCCAAGGAAAAGCCATTTATTATCTGTAGCACGATAAATATATTTATAAAATAATGTTCAGTATAATACAAACATGCGGTTAAATTGTAGTGTAATATGATTTATTTATAAACATTGTTTTCCTTCCTCGTGACAAAAGTTTCATATTGTGCTAACATACGTTCACTGGATTGAATCAATCTAGTTAGTTTGTAAATTAATTAACTGGAGTCAACTGAAGATAACCCAACCTCTTTAAGAGATTGATATGACTGTAACTCAATTCATAATTAACGTATTGCTATTACCGTTTTAAAACGAAGTTGATAACTTATTCAGCCTTATTGCCACTACTACATACGCGATATTATCCAGCGTTCCACCAAGGAAAGCGGATAAAGCAAGATTAACTACTTGGTTCAACGTCGAGCACATAAACATACAAAGCAACTCAGCTTTCCTTCTAATGGTCGGTCTTTGTACAAAGCTTATTCTAATACGAACATACTAATAGTTCTTGCAAAATGTAATTCTCCAGATTGCCATTTTAAACCGCAATGAGCGGTCCATTTTAGTCGGAACAATGACAAGAAACGTCAAGGGTATATGAGTAATAAAAGGTACCACGTTTTTGATGCTCAGCCATACTCTGTCTCCCGATTATCGTATGGTAGGAAGGAGACAAAACGATGTTTTGTAGCTTATATGACGTAGTATATTGTTGAATAGGGATCCTTATTAGGTGCGGTGTGGCAACGAATGCGCTGCCGCATTTCGCAACGTGATATTTCGAAGGGAACGCAAAATGTTCTGCATTTCATATACCTACATCATTTAAAACGCACCTAATTTAAAGTAAACAGTTCCATAATAGTATTGTCTTTGGG